CAGCCCCAGGTGTCAATGTTCCCATCCCAAGAGACATCGAAACCAAAACCGCAGAAGGCTTGATGAAAGTTGCCGGAGTTACTCAAGAGATTGCGCAAGTTGATGCAGCTTGGATGCGGATTGTGGAGTGGAATCCCAACGCAAGCTTATTCCGTCTTGACAATCTTCGGGACACGACAAGTTCTCTGCGTAGCTTCTTCTCCAAGTTCACAGCCCAACCCGAGAAACAATCACAAATTCAAAATACAGAGCGTTCCGATGAGCCGAGTAATATGGCCACCATGCAAACAGCGACCGTGTTCTTGCATATCAATACTGCATCTATAGTGCCTTCGATTGGCTCTTCTCTCAGCAAGGAACTTGAGCGAGCGACACGAAAGCCACCACCCAAGAAAGCCACGATTGCTATTTTGACTCCTTCTTACGATGCCAATGTTGCGACAGGGGTTTCAGCGTCCCAGTCGGAGGTTCTTGCTTCCATTCTCCCTACCAAGTCAGGAAGAGTCTTCATTGGATTCCCTACTGCGCAGACTACCGGTCTCAACGCCCATGTATCTGCGCCGTCTGTGATCCCCACAGTTGAGCGTGAAAGCATTGATTTGAACACCCGCTACATCAGCAAATGGAATCTTGAGATGTTGCGAGCAGTTGGTGTGGTCTGTCGGATTGCTTGGTCTGCAGAAATGACTACCATCAAATCAAAATTGGCCGCGAAAGTTGGTCCATCCCGCACGAAAATTCGAAAAGAGGACATCGTGGATGTTCTTCCGGAAGCAATACATACTGCCAATCAGTTCGTGTTCCGTGAATCCACGCCATCCTCTGTTCTGGGTCAAACGATCGAAGATGCCTTCTGGATGTGCAACAAAAACGCATCTATCGAGATCTTGTCTACTTGTGGTGTAATTCCCAGCCACCAGACCCGCATTGCTCCCAAGGATCTCAGCTTCATGGACTCGATTCCTGCCTTGCCAGATGAATTCGTACTAAATGCGAAGGCATTTGTTCAAAGGCTGACAGAGTTCGGGTTGGTCACGGAAATCACTGTTTCGGACATTAAGCGCGAACTAGAGGCAAGCACATTACGTCCGAACCAGATTGTTGAATTTCTCACATGGCTGGGTCGGAAGACAGTCATGGGACAACTTGACCGACTCTCAATTCAAAGCCTTCTTCGGGTTGCAGTCGCGAATGACGAAGAAAAGGATGGTCAACCTTCTCGGCTCATCATCTTTGCTGATATTACCAGCTTCTTGAATCCTCAACGCGTTCCAGCCGACTTGCCGGTGCCGACAGCGGTGATGCCCTTCCATTTCACTAAATCTCTGGGCAAGCAGGAGCTCGAGGCTCTGGGATGGGGCGAGCTGCAGGTTGTCCCCCGGCTGCGCTGGCTGGTCAATAATGCTGGAGATCGGAGCCTTCTCTCGGCAGATCAAGATATCACAAAGAGCGCCGCTTTTGCTGGGCAAGTTCTACCTGTTTTGTCAAAGCAATGGGAAACCCTAAGCTCGGCGTCAAAGCAATCTGTTGTCAACACACTGCAACCACAAACTGTAATTCCAACAAAACTCGGCATGAAACAGCCTCCTCAGACATATTTCGCCACCGTCCGGCTCTTTGACGACCTTCCCGTCGTCCATGGCCTGAACAGTGTCAAAGAGAAACTACTACTGGCACTCGGAGTTCGCAAGACTGTCGAGCTCGGTGTCATTTTTGATCGTCTCATCAATGTCCCGGAGTCTGGAGATGCCAAAGGCCCGCCTGCAAGAAAATGGAACCATGTGGATCTCATCCGATATCTTGCTTCAGTACGCGAAGACATTCCCGCGAACGACATTCAGAGACTCAAAGAGACAGAAATCTGTACAGCTGAAAACAGGAAAGGTGACCAGCTTCCGCCGAGTGGTCGCTTCAGAATCTCCCAGCTGTACGAGCCAAAAGACATTTTCCGAGCATTGGATCTTCCCGTCATTGAATGGCCTGGAATCTACAACAATGCCAGTAACGAGGGTAAGTTTCTCTCGATGATGGGTCTGAGGAGCTATCCATCCGGATCGGACCTTGTCCGGCTTATGGTACAAAGTGGTGCACAGAAAGACTTTGCTCTCAAGAACAAAGCGTTGTCATACTTCATCACCGAGTATCATACCAATAATTACAGTACATATGATATTGGAGGCGTTGGAGTAGCCTTCCTCCCGATCGAGGGATCGGAAGCTGTCAGTGCACCAAAGGACTGTTTCACAGACGATGGTGCATCTTTGTTCGGGTTTAACATTCTAAAGAGGGATCTACATCGGCATGCTTCCAAGCTGGGTGTCAAGCCTCATCCCCCCATGAAAAATTGCATTCAGATTCTCATTCGCCAGCCTCCAAAGACAAAAGGGGATGCTAGAACGATCTTCAAATACCTGGCGAACAGGGCTTCGGATCTAAGTCCACAGGATATTGAACGGGTTGGCAGTTCACCAATCATCCCCATTACCGAGAGAAGCCACTCAGAAAAAGGGTCAAAAACTCGTTTTGTTTCACCTAAGCTCTGCTATCTGGGCGACGGAGAAGACTACAAGGATATATTTGACTTTGTAGATTTTGGACAGGAGGCAAACTTTTTCCTTCTAGCTGTTGGGTCGAGAAGAGAGCCGACTAAGACAGAGATTGCTCGAATGTTGGTAAGGGAGCCTGCTCGCATTTCAGCAGCATTCCAAAGTTCCGACAAATATCTCATGCTTTTGAGAACTTTGGCGGAGCACCTCCCTGTACTGAAGAAGGATAAAGACCTTTTAAGTGATATGAAGAGGGCGAAATTCCTTCTGGCGAGTCGGGATATCCCGCCTCGAGTGACAGGTCAAAATGGCAAAGAAAAATCCTCCGAAAAGAACATTGCGGACCTGGAAGAAGACCTCGACATTCGAGAGTGGAGTCTTTCTTCCGCGAAAGATATTGTCGTTGTGGATGACTTCCAGAGCTTCAACCTTTTCAAGGAACACATCCTTGCTGCACCACAGGAGGAAATCCTGGAGAACTTCTACGCCGCCCTTGGTGCGGTGCCCTTGAGCAGCTTGGTTGAGGAGCAAGCACGATTTGGAGGTGTGGCAGTCGATCAGACATTGGGCGTCAAAATACACAAAGTGATCCTCGAACGTGCGCGACTCTTCCTGCATGATCAACCCGCCGATTCGATCCAGCATGGAACTCGGTGGTTAGAGCACAGCTTTAGCGTGCAAGTGGTGAACTCCATAAGCCTAACGCGTTCTCTTAAAGGCCGACGGGTGTCTCATACACAAAAGCGCAATGCCATCGTGGCCCGCCTGTCCAGCAACTATGGTCTGTGTATTGGCCCAGGGAAATACGATCTCTACGAGATCAGTCAATCCCTAGTTCACCTCATTCTGAAGCGACCTAAACTCCATTCGACTCTGACCCTGGAGATGCTGTTGAAAACGGATCTCCTGGAGCTCCGTGCTAGAGGCTACAATGTGGAGCGTATCCTCAGACAGAAGGCCCAAGAGGCTCGGATTGCCGAAGACAAGCGACAGAAGCAGATGGAGGAGGAGAGACGTGAACTCCAGGAAAGAGAGGCTGCATGGGCGGAGTCCCAAGCCCAGCGAGCCAAAGAAGAAAAGCCCGAGTCAAAATCCGAGCCGAGATCACAGTCATCCATGCCAGGCGTCTTCCCCGAGTCGCCTAATGGCAAAGGCTCCGCGGATGAAACTCATGCCGTACCGCCCGAAACGGTCATGCCAGAAAGGGCTCCTCGTGGGTTGTTTGCCAACTTGAGTAAACGATTTGGATTGGATCAAAAACCTTCGAATGTGGGTGAACAGTCTCGCTCTCTGCTCCCCGAGTCTTCAACGCCACCTCCTCCACCTCCTTATTCCTCAAACGATCCGCAAAAGCATCGGCCAGAGCAGACAGTCAATTCCAACTCCCCGCATCGATTGCACCAGGAGCTTCTCTCTGCAGTCCAAGCTTGTCGCGCTCATGGATCATCGGACGTTTACAGCCGGCCTGAGACGAACCAAATCCAAGAAAGCAAGTCGTACTGTGACGAGCGACCAAGCCATGATCTAGAGTTTGTTGCAACACTTCCGAGTGGTGTCAATGTATTGTTCGTCAGATCCATCACTGAGCGATCCTCCTTCCTGGCCACCAACCGAGCAGGGTTTAATCTCTTCGCCTCGATCGTTCTGGAATGTGGCTCGATCTTTTCGATGCGTGCAGACAGCCTGAGCATCTTCTACGACCCAGGCGGCAAGACCATTGCCTTCAACCGGGCGGGTAGTATTTTCTGCAACTACTTCTACTTTCAGCAGTTGCATGAGCAGTCACTACTCCAGAGTACCAACCCCGATCGCAAAGACGCCATTGTATATTGGTGGGTGATTCTCTGCCACGAGCTAGCGCACAACCTTGTTGGCGACCATAGCTCAGCGCACAGCTACTACACCGAAAGCTTCGTGGCCCAGTATTTCCCCAAGGTTGCCACCAAACTCGCCACTCTGCCCGCCCCCGCAACCTCAGCTGCATGATCTATACTTGTGAAGTATTCTTGTTTCTTATGCCATTTTGGCCCATGTCGAATACCCAGTCACTTAGCAAATAGATAGCCAGAATATCTAGAACATTCAGAACAATAGAAAAAAGCGTCGCCACCCGAAGTGGCTCCATCCGATTTCCGGCTGTACCCGCTTTTTCCCTTGCATTTCAACCTTAATTTTTTTTCTTTTCCCCTCCATCACAATGCATTGTCCCTTTATATACTAGGCCTGACATACTATGCGGCACTAATATTCTCCGTCTGTCTTACTCCGCGGCAACGGGAACACGGACGTGCGAGACTCGGTACTCGCCACTCGACACCTGGACATTCAATGAGCTCGGGAATCTCGAAAGCCTAAAAGAGAAAAGAAATCCCCGAATTCACGCAACGTGATCGGCAGCATTGCGCATTATCTTTCTCCACAGTCAGAATATTGTCCCTCTGATTCCATTTCACCATGGCGCCGTTATTAGGCAGCTGGGATGGGGATGGGTCGGAGACCGCACAGTTAAGCAAGACCCAGAAGAGTATTCTCTATGTTGACGCATACGACTCATTCTCATACAATGTCGTTGCGATGCTGGAAGAGACCCTTGGCGCCAAAGTCACAGTAATGACCATCGACTCCGAATGGCCAGATGGCAACATGCGCGAATTTCTACGCCACTACGAAGCCATTGTGTTAGGACCTGGGCCGGGAAACCCCAACTTGCCTAAAGATGTCGGCATCATGCGCGATATCTGGAATCTCCAGGGTGCCGAGTTGCTCCCGGTGCTTGGCATCTGTCTGGGTTTTCAAAGCTTATGTCTGCATCATGGTGTGTCCATTGACCGGCTTCCGTATCCTCTCCATGGCCAAGTGCGACATATATCGACAAGCTCGAAGGATGTCTTTGAGGGCCTTCCTTCTGTCGAAGTGACACTTTATCATTCGCTGTATGCCAATATGGACTCTTTGAGTCATTCGCAGCGCTTATCGTCGGATCATCTCGAATTTCTGGCGTGGTTATCTCTTGAAAACTCTTCTGGCTCGGATAGTGAGATCCCAATGGCGGTGCGCCATCGTCAAAAGCCATTCTGGGGTGTACAGTTTCATCCTGAATCGTGCAAGTCAGAGAAAGATGCTTGCAAGTCTTTGCTACAGAATTGGTGGCGGATGGCTCTTACCTTCAACAAGGTTGTCGGGCGTGGGGGATATGGGACTCTCTCTGAAACCATCATCAGTCCTCAGAATGATATGAGCGCTTTCCCGGATGTCGCTTACGAGATGCTGAAATGGAGCGAGGCGACTTCGGCTGTTTCGGCATACCGGTCTCTGGGGCGAGGTCTGACTCCAGAGGATGTCAGTGAGGTTTTCAACAAGCCCGGGGCGCCGACTGTGCTGTTCCAGTCTAATGGGCGGTATAGCATTATATCAATTCCCAGTCCGGGGTCCTGGAGACTTGAATACAGCGTTGAAACTCAGCATCTGAGTCTTTGCCAATTACAGGGTGAACACGAAGCTGTCGAGAAGACTCTTTCTGTCACCCAGCTCTGGGATGCTTTGCGATATTTGATGGACATGAAGAAGGTCAATCTTGGTAGCCCGGAATCTCCGTTCTGGGGTGGTTTCCTCGGCTACTTTTCCTATGAACTGGGTCTTGCATGTCTCCCTCATCCAAAGGGGTCAGATCACGTCTCTGTTTCATATGAACACTCGACTGAGAGGTCATCGACTCGTTCTTTGGAAGATCCTCCAGATGCCAGCTTGCTATGGTGTGACAGGAGCATCATTATCGACAACAATACCGGCAACCTTATCTTGCAATCGACTCGCGAGTCCGATAATCAGCCGTCGGGCTGGCTTGACGAGACATTGAAATCTCTAGAGGCTTATTCAAGCAGCTCTAGAGCCGACCAAGAAGCCGACGCCCAATTTTTGAACTCTATCCTCTGCGAAGGAAAGATTGTATTCCCAGAGGAAGCCATTTATAAACGACAGATTGAGTCTTGCAAGGCAGAACTGGAAGCCGGAGAATCATATGAGCTGTGCCTCACCTCCGAGACATCCATCACCCTACCGACTCCCACAACGGAAGAAGGCCGTATTACATTCCCCTGGAAACTATACAAGAAATTGAGGAAATACAACCCCGCCGCGTTCAGTGCATTTGCAGACTTGGGACACGCCAAGGTCGTCAGCAGCAGTCCAGAATGCTTCCTCAATTGGGATCGAGAGTCTACTTTGGAGATGAAGCCGATGAAGGGTACCGTCCGCAAGACACCCGAGATGACCATAGAGAAGGCTCGTGAGATCCTGGGCTCGACGAAGGAAATGGCCGAGAACCTGATGATCGCCGATCTCATTCGACACGATCTGTATGGTATCTGTGGATCTGGTGGTGTCCATGTCGAGAAATTGTTGGAAGTCGAAGACCACGGTCGCGTTTACCAGATGATTACCCATGTCAAGGGTGTTGTCAATCCCGACCACCCTGGATTCGCTGTTCGACACATGCCTCAGCTGAAGTCTTCCAACATGGCTGTTCATGGTCTAACGGCTCTTCAGCGGTGCTTGCCTCCCGGGTCTATGACTGGCGCACCCAAGGAACGCTCCTGTATGCATCTCCAAAACATCGAGGACAGGAAGCGTAGCATCTACTCCGGCGTCATGGGCTACCTAGATCTGGGCGGTGGTGGCAGCTTCTCGGTTCTGATTCGCACGGCATTTACTTGTACTACCGAGCCTCAAGGTCAACAACAGACTTGGAGAATCGGTGCTGGTGGTGCAGTTACCACCCTCAGCACAGCCGAGGGTGAATGGCAGGAGATGTTGACAAAGCTGCGCACGGTCTGCAATGTCTTCGCTCCATCCGAGGCTGAAGGGGCAAGTCGGTGACCCTGATTCGCATTTCTTATTATAGACGCAAATCCTCACTACCAAAACAGCTCATTGTATCTTCAACAATTGAACAATGAGCTAGGGTGAAGAATTTTATTCAACATTAGCGTTGGAGTTGGGGGAATTTTGTTTGAACATTGACGCCAAAGATAAAGATAGATAGATGCAAACAACCAAAACATCACTTTTTCTCCACCTCCACCTTTAACCTTGACTTTCTTCAATTATTCCCGCCTCAAGTTCTGCCTCTGAAGTCGAAATTAATCCTGCTGCAGCTGGTCTGAATTGGGAGCCGTATATTTCGGAGATTTCAGAATGGCCAGCCAAGAAGCGATGGAGGAAATCCTCTGGCGGTCTCCCCCGCACGTCCAGATGATGGGGGGTTCCTACACTCTAACAACAGTCAGTCCGCTGCCATTGGCTCGTGATTCTAGACTAACTTCTCTTACAGTTCTGTTTTATTTCGCCGAATCCCCTTTCTTCGACCCTACCTCGAACAATGCCTCACTAGCTATTCAAGCCAACTACAATGAGGCCTTCCGCCATTTCGTCGAGACGCGCGAAGCTTTCGAAGCTCGCCTTAAGACTATGCAAGGCCTGGAATTCATTGTCGCATATGATCCCCTACAAGCCGCTGCCCAGTCTGACACTCGCTTTGCGCATGAGCCGTCCAACGTCTGGGTGATCCGGAAGCAGAACCGGCGGAAACGCAGCGGCATGGATGACGAGGTGTCAGTGATTTCCACATACTTCGTCGTCAGCGATTGCATCTACATGGCTCCATCTGTTGCCAGTGTAGTGGGCAATCGAATCGTAAGCTTCCCTCTTATCGCAGTTGTTTTGCAGAGGACTAACAATCTCTCCTACAGCTATCAGCCGTTACATCCCTATCACGACTAATGAAGACTGCGTCGACGCTGCCCTCCTTTACACCGTCCTACGGACACACATACATGCCACCGATGGCCCGCGCCACGGAGACCGGCCCACAAGCCTCGCAACAAAGCAAGGAGAACACCCCCATGCCCGACGTCCCACACCCCTCCACCGCCGACACACAAGCATCCGCCAAAGCAGGCCTCGGCATATCCAACACGAGCACGAACACCAGCTTCCAGGATACCCGAAGCTTGGGTGAAGCGTTCAATTTATTTACACAGTATGGAGACGAATTCATGGACGAGAATCCACTAGTCGGTGAGCCAGGCTCATTCATCATGTCACGCGCCGGTGAAAACGACCGTGCAGCTGGTACATCTCAGGCCGCGCTCAGGACCGGACCAGGTGTCACGGCCAATACGCCTCGCCCGGCTGGACGCGTATCTACGCCGCAGGTCAGGGTGGACACGCCCGGGAAAGCGTCGGACATGGGTAATTCACCGCCGAGCTCGGGAGAGAATAGGGGGAAGCGCAAGAAGAACCGGATTGCGAGCTGAGAGGATTCGCATCTATGATACCCATTTTGCCCCTAATCTGTGATACATGTGGGCGGGCGTTTTGCGCGATTTATACTGGTGTTTCTGGAGTCTAGCATGGACATTACAGGGATTGGAGTCTCGAGGAGCATGGTTAGGGCAATGCAAGTTGCTCATTGCCGAAATGAAAGCGAGAAACAAGAGAATTAACCCCAACCGAGTGAAGACTTGTGTAACCGTAGCCAACCACATAGTCGAATGGACCAGCGTGACTCAAAAGGGACTCTTTATCTCTTATCGGCCCCTCACGGTTCACCGTCACCAGCTTCTCGCCACTTTTACTCTTCTTTTCTCTCAGAGTACCTTCTCTATATTCTCAAAAATCTTTGAGACAAAGCTACCTGTCAGCTAAATACCACCATGACTCAAGACAAGCCCCCGGTCGTCTGCGTCTTGTAAGCCACCCCTCCCCTCACCGCGATCTACATCTCCAACATCTCAACACCTACCCCTCCAAACGATACCCGTTCACCTCAGACCCTGGGAAGCCCCTCCCTACACGATGTTTTGTAGCTAACAATAATATCAGCTGCGGCTCAACAGCCGGCAAAGACCCAGTCCACCTCGAAGCAGCACGAACCCTGGCCTACGAATTTCATAAGAACAACGTCCAACTAGTCTACGGGGGCGGCACAACGGGCCTAATGGGTGAAATAGCCAAAACCCTCGTCTCCCTCTCCGGCCCACAGGCAGTTCACGGCGTAATCCCCCGCGCCCTAGTCAAGATCTCCACTGTGGCCGCCGAGCACAGCGTCGCCAACGGCAACACCAGTGGGGAAGGCAAAGCCGCGGAACGAGTAATCTCTGAAACCGAAGAAAACGGAATCCCGGAATCAGAGTACGGGATGACGACGATCGTACCGGACATGCACACGCGTAAGCGACTTATGGCGAGGAAGGTGCTTGAGGGAGGGCCTGGGTCGGGCTTTGTTTCGCTTGCTGGAGGCTTTGGTACGATTGAGGAGGTGATGGAGATGACGACGTGGAATCAGTTGGGGATTCATCGGGTGGGAGTTGTGTTGTTGAACATTAATGGGTATTGGGATGGGTTGTTGGGTTGGGTGAAGAATGCTGTTTCGGAGGGGTTCATTAGTGGGGAGAATGGGTCGATTCTGTGTGAAGCTAAGGATCCTACAGAGGTTTGGCCCAAGCTTTTGGCTTATCAGTGTAGTTGTGATCGGATGCAGTTGAACTGGGGGGAAGAGTGAGGGTGCTGCAAGACTGGTTTTCATGAGGTATGAAGATCAAGAGCATGGGCAGGGATCAGATAAATCAGATAAATCAGGTCCACGGTAGATGGTATAGAAAGACAGTGCACAGCATCAATTATTCATGTCTATGCTCTCATTAAAAAACTCGAAATTATGAATCCTCCATGGTCTCATCTTCGGCTGTACCAGACTGCTCGGAGCGCTCGAGCGCCTCCAATAGAGGCACCGTCTCCTGTCCCTCATACAGCTTGAAGCTCTCAAAGCGGCCCTTAGTGCCCTCACCAGCCAAACCAGCAACACCAACCGAGGTATTATCCACCGTAAGCTCCTTATCCTGGCTCAGACTCTCCTTGAGCGCACGCAGGCCGTGGTTGATCAGCTCATCGCGACTGCAATCGTGGAACTTATCCAAATTACGCTCGAGGTACGTACGGGCCATCTGCGAGCGGGCACCGATAGCACAAGCAACCATCTCGTGAGTGAGGCCGGAGGGCTGGAACTCAAACAGGTGCGGGCCGGCCTCGTCAACACCGGCTACCAGCAAGCCGACACCGTAGGGCCGTTTCCCGTAGTGCTGGGTGTTGGTCTGGGCGCGGTCACCGATCTGCGAGACGATGCGGTCGAGCGGAATTGGTCGGCCGTAGGTCATCTTGGAGCCGAGGGATTGCTGCTTCATGAAGTTGGAGAGGACGCGGGCGTCGGATGCCAGGCCTGCGATGGCAATGGCCATGTGCGAGTCGATCTCGATGATCTTCTTCTGGTAGGAGGAGAGTTCTTCTGCGTTGCGCTGGAAAGGAGAATGCGCTTTTAGCTCAATTCTGATATGTTCTTTGTGTTTGGGGTAGAGCGAACCTTCAGGCCAACCAGGACGGCATGTGTCTTGTTCACCAATCCCACGACGACGGAACCCTGCTTCACAGCTTCCTGTGCATATTCGACCTGGAATATCCGGCCTTGCGGGGAGCTAATGGGGCTCGAATTAGGATGTGTTCCTAGGTGGATCGGGGGAGATCTTACAAGGTGACAGCATCGTTGTCGTAGTTGTTTCTGAACATGGCGGAGGTAAAGACGAATCAGATCGGGAAATATGAATTTAGATAGGGACTCGGTCAGGCAAAGAAATAAAAAAGCAGACAATCAAGATGGGAGCCCGGGGCAGAGATGGGGAAGCTGGAGCAGGCAGGTGAAGGTGACGCGGTGTGAAGCATGAGCTCTTGCAGCCTGAGGCAGCCACACCCAGTGACCGTCAGGCGCCAACGTCACTCATTCCTCGCAACACCTCCGAGCTCCCACCTCTCAATCCCTCTGGGACTACCATCCCTGCGCTACAGATCACTCCATCATCTGGATACTGCGTCGCACCCTTTACGCCTCCTTTTTGTCCCGCAGCTTCGGCGACTCCGCAATCATGGCGGCTGGACTCAAGACCATCATCGCGCTGTCATTTGTACGAGCTTACGTCTAACTCATGCGCTTGGTTGAGGGACATAGACTTATTGTTTCTTAGGTGCTCGCAATCGGATTCCTCCTCGTTATTCTCTCCTCCGCCCTCTGGCACAAGTACTGGCCGCTCCTGGTCGTCGCCGTCTATATCATTGCGCCGCTCCCCAATTGGATCTGTGGACGAGTTGCGAACCCAGATGATTTCATGGACAGCTCGAGCAACTCCGCGATGGACTTTGGGCGGTTTATGACTGGTTTCCTGGTCCTCACTGGAATTGGTGAGTTTCGTCCCGTTGCGATGCCTTTCCCCGCATGTCTACCTCCTTCAACTGCTTCTGCGTCTACACCAATGAACATCCTTTTTCCCGGATACTCAGATCCTTCTTGATTATTTTGCCACTGGTTACAGTTTGTCACAAGTCTCGATTCGCTGACAGCCCCTGTTCTAGCACTCCCCGCCATCTTGGCCCATAGCGGAGAAATCGGCCTCCCGGCCATGATTATGTCTATTTGCGGTGGTCTCTTAATCTATGGTACGATCATTAGCTTCTCCATGTTCTTCCAAGAGCAGGAGGAGTTCTGATAGCGAGTGAATGGCTGGTGATAGTTCCTCGGCTTACTAGCCTGTTCTTGGGAGCCCTCCAACGTTCAAATTGCTTTTATGATGACATCTACTTCTCGACAAGCTTGGTTTCTCCTATGCACGACATGTTTCAAACGAGTGGCTGGGAAAGGGTCCCAGCGTCCATTACGCTCAATGGCTTTTGCATTTCATTGGCTATGATACTCTGGGGGTACGTTTAACACAGTGTATATATAGATATTTTTCGTTTATTTCAACTCGCAAACCATCAACGTTGAACAAGACTTGGGGCAATTTAAAATAGATGTGGCTCACGTGACCGCGCGCGATCTAGCGCGTCCCGCGGGTGTCAATAGACGTAATTGTGGACCAACATCGACAACACCACAACGAAATGAACATGTGAGACGGGCCCTTTGTTGAACTGTTGAATATGAATGTCTGGACAGGGTCTATCTCCCTGGGTTCGGATCGCCAACTGGAAGGTAACACCACCAACGCGGCTCGATATCTTGCGCTGCTTGCTAACCTTCGCAGGCATCCGTTTGGTCGATCCGACCTCTCACTGGCCATGCGATGTACCCAAAGGCTCGAAACTTGCTCTACGCAGCTTTGTGAATCCGTCACTCATCCCACTACACGCGCGAGCGGGTCCCAATCTCGAGTTACACACAATCCACGCCGGCACGTCACAATGGCTTCAGACCAAGCTTACCGGCGCTATCTGGCTGGGCGAAAACGAATTAGACCTCCACCAGTCATTACAGTGTCCAGTCGGCCTGCTAGTTAGTGTAGATGGCACTCCGGTTAAGAAGACCGGCGTGGTCACGTCAGATTTCTTGATCTATGGCGTATTATCCAGCGCGACATCTTGTGCACGCCCACCCACTCCACCACATTCGTCGCCATCTGAGATCAATGGCCAAGTGATTCCACCACCCAACAAGCCGTATGAGCTGAGGATCTATGCGGCACCACTCTCAACCTCTCTCCTCGCTCAAGCACAAGCCTTCCCATCTCCACCACAAAGCTGCGACGGCGAACAAGCCTCCACACAGGCCGAATTTCTTCCAGATATCAGCTCGCCCAGCCCTAAGAGGAAACGGGTCGCAACTCTCTTCGAAGTCGCAGCACAGCACCACCGGCGTGTACGGCAACGAGGCGGCGAGGCCGTCTCCCAACTAATGGCAACATCACGACCATTATCATCATCACAGAACCTCCAATCTCTCCGCGTGAAGCGTGAACCCGAAGATGACACGCCAAGTCTTCCATCACTCGACCGAGTCGCTGCACACAGGTCACGCTCTGTATCCATCGGCGCGAACATGCACCGTCCAGGTAGCAGACTCGGTGCGCGAGGAACTCCAGGTGTAAATGCCGACCCTCAAAAGCGAGCACCAACACCAAACCCTTTCCTCGACTCCACCTCACGTCGCGGGCTGCAGCAGACCCAAATACCGTCAGGACTCTCCGTCTCGCTCGATGATACAGCGATGCCCAGCTCCCCACCCAAAAGCATTGAAGCCATTATTGCAGAGAACAAGAATCTCATCACGAGAACCATCCTCACAGCTATGCGTCTCTATGGTTTCCATCGCTCAAACACGCGAGCCTCAACCAAGCTCGCTTCTGGAGACGATCCTGAAGGGTCAAATGCAACACCAGCGCCAGAGACATTGCGCGCGGAGACACCAGCACCAGGTGCTTCTGCAGACGATGATGAGTTCAAGTCTATGTACCACGCAACCTACAAAGCAGCAGCCTTTGCACTGCGCAGGTATCTCAAAGAGTCTGCGGGGTCACCACCTGTGTTACTAGAGAAGAACAAAACCATGACTTGTATCGACGAGCTACTGAGACTTTTCTGCGAGGATCATTGAGGGAATATGCATGGATTTGCTAACGCCATATTACGACTTTACGGACTAACGCTGCATCTACTTCGGGGCGTTTAGAGATTGCATGGGATAATTTTCACATTTCCGAGGTGTCTCTACCATCAAGTAGCGCAATCGCATCATCTTTTTCTTTTTACATTGCATCTTACAATGGAACCCAATCTACAAATCTCAAACTCAAGAAACAAATCGATTCCAATTCATAGACGCTAAGTCCTAGCCCGTAAGCCAGATGCGAATGCCCAAGCCAATTCATCAGCGCATAAAATACAAAGCCAACCCTCCGCCATAAATACCTAATCTAGGGTATCGGTATCGGTATCGGTAAGGATAATCACAGCGCCAGATTGTAGGTATAGTCGTCCTCGATATTCTGCGAAACCCAGAGAACAACCGAGCTCATCATAACCAGACCATTAGCAACCACATTCGCGATACCGAAGTAGAGCGTCTGAATCGGATAGTCCTTCATAAGGTATTTAAGAACCATAACAGTCTATTCCGCTTCATATTAGCCACTCGACTCCCAACAACACCTCAGACCCGGGCCCGGATAGAAGGATCCAAAACAGGGGAAGGAAAAGAATACGTACCACACTCCCAGCAAGACCGCCAGCCAAAAGCGCAAAGCCAAGGAAAAGCACAAAGCGCGCCTTCCACGCAACCCCAGTACCCGAATAACTGAAACTATCGGCCTGCAACCTCGACTTCTCAATCGAGTTGATCACCAGCATGCCAAGCGCGGAGCAGATGCCGGGGATCCAGTCGACGAACTTGATATGCACGTCTGAGCCATTGAGGGGGCTATGCGAGAAGGCGGCGACATCAACGAGGAAGAAGAAGCCCGCGGCGAACTACACATTAAACACGAAGCATTAGCTTAAGCTGAATAGGTAGTGTATATACTGGAGGTTGTAATTGAGGAGCTGCATGCGACTCGAGAGGTTGGGGGTGGGAACTGGACTGGACTTACCAGGGCGCCGGAGGTGTAGACGCCTGCGTTACGGACGGCGGCGTTGTTGAGCCATTCTGGCTTGGAGAAGCGGAAAAGACGGTTGCTTGAGACGTCCATGGTTTGTGTGATTTGTTCGATGTGATGGTGGTTGGGCGTGAGGAGGATGACGATAGTCTTTCGGAGAAATGTCGGGCCGGGGATATATGTAGCGGATGTTTCAGGCTATGTCTATGTCGTGCATGGGAGTACACTCCGGTTCCGAATACGATTTGGTCCATATTTCGGATCTTGGAGTTTTCCAAGTTGCAAGAATGCTTCTGCCTTTGCTTCCTTTAAGTTTGAGGAGTGGTGTTGTCGTCATCCATATTACCGAGCGATCTTAAATGGGCAGGCAGCGAGATATACTTCCACGGTTCCAATGGACTTGGAGGCTCTACGCAGACGATTCTAGGTAGCACATTTATTTATCGGAACTTTCACAGTAAATTGGAATGTATTGGTAGGACCAAAGTCCTGGGGTATAGTTCAAATTCAAACTTTTCCTGCCTAGATTTAGGCTTGCGTAACGAGTCGTTACACGGGATCACGAGACGAAATACATCCGCCTGTTCAATGCATCCTTGCACGAACGTCACTTTCACCGTGGTCCGTGTATCGGCTCGAGGTGTCGTAGCCAGTCTCTTGGTCAACGCCCAAGCGAGTCATGCCACCGGTGCTCTTTGCACCGGCGCAGTACGCTGGCGCCAAGATACTGCATCGAGGTTTATTCCAGCGCATCGTTTTCTTCACACGCTGCTATGCAGCATCGGAGAGGCATGCCATAAAACATAATTTTACTGTCTGGCAGCAATTCACTCAGAGCCGACAGGAGTCTCCCGCAACTTGTCCATTATAGCATCCACGGCCTCCATATCGCCCGAGTCGACCTTCTCGGCGGAGTAACCCTCCGGAAGAGCTTTGACCAATTCGTTCATAGCGGGCTGATAGTTGCGCACAGCAGAGGAGAGTGCATAGATCGACTTCTTGCGTGCGAGAGCGTTGGGGTCAGTAATGGCCATGTTGGCAAGAGTAGGAATAGCGTTCAAGACGACAAGCTGCGCAGAAATGTTAGCCTCAATCGCACGAATTGCGCCGGATGCGGGGGTTCCGGATGTACATACCTTATCTTGCGCCTTCTCGTTGTTCTGCACGGCAGTGCCGATACACCAAGCAGCGTAGCGGCGCAGGTCGGGCTCTTCGTGCTTAAGAAGCTGGACCAATGGGCTCCAGAGACCCAAAGGCTCGAGGTTGTTGGCGTTGTCGATGCCCTCAATGAGCTGTTCGAAGTTGTCAAAGGCGATGAGCTTGTTCTCGAGGTCAGACTCGTCGGAATGCAGGACCTCCATGGCAGCCTTCATGAGGTCAGCCTCGGTAGGACCGCCGAACAGAGCATTGATCATGTCCGGAGTCAAATTGCCGCGGGGCTGGTCGGCGGGGGGAGGGGCAGTGGCGGTGCCATCGTCGTTCTGCTGTTGGGAGTTGGTGACACTCCACTTGAGGAGCTTGTTCATTGAAGGGTCCATATTGAGTAGATGGGGAAGGTATAGCGCAGTGGAGGGTCGAACTCAAGAGTGCAGCTCCGTAGATATAAGAGGGACAATGAAATTATACCGGATGACATAATCGCAGAATCGAGATGCTTCGTGCGGCACCCAGCGGGTTCCAGCACGTGACTTGACACACCGTCTTCCGACACTGCCACCGTGGTCGAAATGGCGGTAGACAGATTGCGTGTACCGTGCACCGTATCTAGGTAGCCTGATGGACATCCTAGGTTGGGCAGTGAATGCATGGAGCACATCTGTTGTGCCTACAGCCATTGAATCTTGTGTTTTAAAGTCAAAACTATGATCTGGTCTATGCAGAGTGCCGGTACCCTCTAAGTACCTCTGCTGACCCTACGTGGCCCGTGGCGGCTGAGAAAAGGAGGGGTTCTATACTTAGAAGTGACCTGCTTTCCCGGTTTAAACGTCCCCCCCCGCCACATGTTAAAACCTGGGAATGTATCCAGTTGGACACTGGACATTCTAGACGTCGTTTTAGGCATCCTAGGTACATCGTGTTATTAATAGGCGCCAAGATCATGATGTCGTGGCCGCGTAGTTGGGTCAGCACTATGGGATGCACCGTGCCCCGTAGGGTCTGAGGCGACAGGACCCTGTGCCCCCACGAGGATGCGCAATTGCATTGTAAAATAAAGATAATCGGACCTTTCTGCCTTGGAATGAAGTTTATCAAGTAGAGGCGGTCGATCGGGGGGTTGGCTAGTCGAGACCCAGGCGCACACACCAGGTCCACGTCCCAACCATCACAAACCCTCCCCTCCTCTCCACTTCTCCCTTCCTTCTCTTCTCTCCCCTAACTCTCTCTCCCCATCTCTATAACCTTTCCATCTCCCTTTAGTCTAACTTTCATTCACCATGGAAGGTATGTGATCTCTACCGTTGGTGGCTCCCTCACCCACTTGGATATGACTTCTTCCCCCCCCCCTCCCTCCAGAGCTGGGGGGAGGCCTACCCAAGCTGACCGGTGGCCGCTCAACTCGACATCCCGGGCTCGTGGCTAATCCGTTCCTTCTACTACAGAGGAAGTTGCTGCTCTCGTTATCGACAATGGGTACGTGATGCATCGCGATTCACCTGGGAGCTCGACCTGGTTGTGTTTGGGTACTCGTCATTTCGGTCGCGGTCCATCTGTCATCTCCCCCCTATCCGACGCCACCGCAAATTGAGTCCCCAATCGCCTCCCAGGCCACTCCCAGCGTTGGCGCTGAGCAGACAAGAATACCAATGATTGAGGGATCCATTTACTGATGAATTGTCTAGTTCGGGTATGTGTAAGGCCGGTTTCGCCGGTGACGACGCACCTCGAGCTGTCTTCCGTAAGTGCAACCCCACAGAACCCGACACCCCTCCTCCTGGCACGGACTCCCGCCCTTGCGTGGGTTGTCAACCACCTCGTGCTTTTTGGGCCCTATTTGCGGCTCTGCTTTTCACTCCGTTATTGGAAATGTTAAATTTTACTGACTCCAATGATTAGCCTCCATTGTCGGTCGTCCCCGTCACCATGGGTAAATTTCACCTCTCCCTTTTGTTCTCCATCACCGAATGGATGGCAAATTTTGAAATGACCCCCCAAAAACTAACATGCGCGCAGTATCATGATTGGTATGGGTCAGAAGGACTCCTACGTTGGTGATGAGGCTCAGTCCAAGCGTGGTATCCTGACTCTGCGCTACCCCATCGAGCACGGTGTTGTCACCAACTGGGACGACATGGAGAAGATTTGGCACCACACCTTCTACAACGAGCTCCGCGTGGCTCCCGAGGAGCACCCCATCCTCTTGACTGAGGCTCCCATTAACCCCAAGTCCAACCGTGAGAAGATGACCCAGATTGTCTTCGAGACCTTCAACGCCCCCGCCTTCTACGTCTCCATCCAGGCCGTTCTGTCCCTGTACGCTTCCGGTCGTACCACCGGTATCGTCCTTGACTCCGGTGACGGTGTTACCCACGTTGTCCCCATCTACGAGGGTTTCTCCCTTCCCCACGCTATCTCGCGTATTGACATGGCTGGCCGTGATCTTACCGACTACCTGATGAAGATTCTGGCTGAGCGTGGTTACACTTTCTCCACCACTGCCGAGCGTGAAATTGTCCGTGACATCAAGGAGAAGCTCTGCTACGTCGCCCTCGACTTCGAGCAGGAGATCCAGACCGCTTCCCAGTCCTCCAGCCTCGAGAAGTCTTACGAGCTTCCCGATGGACAAGTCATCACCATTGGCAACGAGCGCTTCCGTGCTCCTGAGGCTCTGTTCCAGCCCAACGTTCTGGGTCTTGAGTCTGGTGGTATCCACGTCACTACCTTCAACTCCATCATGAAGTGTGATGTTGATGTTCGTAAGGATCTGTACGGCAACATTGTCATGGTATGTCTCCCCCCCTTCTCTACCCTAGCATCTACATATCAAATACTAACTTCCCCAGTC